CAGGTATACGAGTACCTAAGTATAAATGCTGCCTACAGATCTATCACAAAACACAGTGATCTAAGTAAGCATACAAATTATACAGGTATGCGAGTACCTAAGCATAAATGCTGCCTACAGATCTAATACATAACACGGACAGTGACCTAAGTAAGCATGCAAATTATACAGGTATACGAGTACCTAAGCATAAATGCTGCCTACAGATCTAATACAAAGACAATAAACGCACATCACATACATAAAATAACAGCAAAAGGGTTAGATAGGCAGTGATAATGTGTAAGAAAAACCTGACATCCTTTGATCTTGGGCAATAGTTAATCGAAACGTTCTCAGTGACCCTTTCAAATAAAGCGCCACAGTAGAGTCACATGATATCTTATAATGACGTAAATACTGTTTCAGTGATGTAATGTGCCGTCCATTGATAGTGGCATGCTGTGTTAATCCGTACGATGACATGCATTACGCAAGTATTCCCTATGCAATGAATAGAAATGAAATCTGAGACGAGCACTTTGAAAGTGCTGCTTCACGCCGGTAACTAAGCCGTGTAGCTCGTCATGAATAACTATATTTCTCAATTTCTTATCATGAACACATGCCTTTTGTTCATCATATGTACTTGCACCGTTTATAATATCTCAAGTTTACATACTTATTAAACATTATACACATCTAATCATTCTGCAGGTCATATACAAGTAAATTGTTTGCAAAAAAGTACGAAAACTGACACGCATTCCTTCGAACTCTTATACAGAATATGATTGGAAATAATATTCCATTAAACATCAAAATAGTTTCTGTTATTATAAACATCTCTTTCCTTGCCTCCCAGTCTTGGGAAATATTATATGCAACTAGCATCCCGACAAACGGAGCATAACACACCATAAACGCACTGATCACATAGTATTTACTATTCTTTGATATCTCTTTTCATTCCAAAGATATTTAATATGACAATTACAAAACGATGACATCAAAAGAAAACCAAATCTTCAATTAAAACATTGAGAATACTTATTAAGAAAACGACTGAAATTGCGTTACTTTATCTTTTGTTGCCATGCCAACATCATCAAACATATCGAAGTGACTGTTTTATCCTGCCCGTACGACCAGCGATTCTGAGTTAGTTTCATCCTTTACATGGTTAATGATTTCCACCATTATTGTTCCTAGGTGAGGAAAATAGCACAGGACGAACGCACCGTACCGATAACATAGTACATGAATTTGACGGATTTCTTGTATCGGGGCATGACGCAGTACTGTTGTACTGATTGCTGTTGGGCGTGGATCTGCACTGAGTGTCTGTGAATCACTCGAGATATTTTGAAGACCATATACAGATTGATTGTCAACAAAACAAAAATAATAGCAACTACAAGGGTTAAAAAAATTTCAGCCCTTAAAATACCTCCGAATGAAAAGCATTGAACTGCCTATTCAAATACAAGCTAATGCTATACCACATCTTTTGGTCATGTGACGAGTTCTTGGTATCGCAAGTGAAGATGAACAGCCAGGAATCGATCTGCAGTAATAGCACTTAACGTAAGGAAGGAAACAGAAACCAACTGGTAAGACATTAAATGAAATACTTTACCGATTGTTTGCGATACATCTGCGTTTTTGCCAAATTTTAACTCAGCGTATTTGACGACACAAAAAAGAGGCTGCACGACAGCATCGACTAGGAGGTCCGAGACGGCCAGACCAAGAACCAAGACACTAGAAGACAAAGCTTGCACAGATGGTGTCCTGATAAAAGTCAAAATAATCAAACAGTTCATGGAAAAAGCCGCAAACGCCATCTCCGCGTTCATGACAATTGTTGATAGAATAAACCCGAAGCTCCTAGGATTTTCGCAATAAAGCACTAGAGAATTCATAGTTGGAACTAATGAAGCGGCTGAGGTTGTCGACAAAGCACTGATGTTATTCATTTTAACTGATGTATAATTTGACAAAAACGTCAAAACGGACGCTTTATCTTCTCACCCAGTCTGTAAAGTGACAAAAAAATTGACGATTATTTTCAGCGAGGAAGAAGAATAATATTTGTTTTAGCCTTTCAATTATGACACTGAGCTGCCATAGAAATATAATCTTTCACGAATCAGGTGTTCTGTAAGATAAGTTAAATATAAAACTCATCGTTCTTAACTTTGTTTATCCAAAGGCGACGAATTTTAAGATATTTTAGCGACCAGAGTTTATTTAAAGATTGGTGATTGTTCCAAATCATCTCAGGACTACTAAATATATCTAAATTAATGATATACCTACAGATGAAAGCCAGTAAAAGTTTTGTTGCTTAATGAAAATTTTTGCCGTTTTAGTACAGTCGACTCTCCCGTAAGCGACCACCTCGGGGCCAGGAGAAAGTGGTCGCTTAGGGGAGATGGTCACTTACGAGAGTTAACACAGGAAGCCCAAACAATGGGAATCCCAACACAGGAAGCTAAACCATTTATAATTTTGTAACTCACGTGTAAAAACTACTGTATTCACGATTAAACTGTTTTAATCAAAATTTTGAATGTGCTATATGTTTACATTAGTGTAATTGTCAATATTTCGTCGGGTTTCTAATACCCGATGACTCTATGTTCTTAAATTTTTTATTGTTAAGGATCTGTCACCATTACTGGCTCTTGGGTGGTCGCTTACGGGAGAGGAAAAACAATGAAATATTCCAAAATTTTAACCCAAAAGGTGGTCGCGGTGGCTTACGAGAGTGGTCGCTTACGAGAGAGTTTTTTTTACAGAGTTTATATRGGGAACAAAACGGGAAATTCAAAAAGTGGTCGCTTATGGGAGATGGTCGCTTACGAGAGTGGTCGTTCAAAGAGAGTCGACTGTAAACCCAAATGCCTACTATGACATCACACTCATTAGCATACTGGAAATATAAACCTTGATATCTCCAAGATGCATCACTCAAATCATATAAAACATTTTACTATTTAACTTTTAACTTCATGTAGAATCAATGCTGAAAACATTGAGTTAAAAATCATAGGCACTTTACGTTTTGACGAGGCAAATAATTTTTTTAAATCATAAGCCCCGTATCTGCCCGGGAGAACGCTCTTCGGAAAACCTTCGGAAAATGGCGTGAGCAGGGCCGTACGTCTTTGAGCGAGTAGAGTCGTACGAATCCCTGCTCGAAACCTGCGACCGTATTTTCTTTCTTTTATTTTATTATTCTTCTTATCGTGAGCGTCATATGATAAAACGCTTATTGACTGAGTTAGGTCGGGCCGTACGGGAAAATATTTGGCTCTCGGTCATTTGTACGGACCTCGCTGCGCTCGGTCCGTACCGCATCACCTCGAACCAAATATTTTTCCGTACGGCCCTCCCACTCAGTCAATGAGTACATATTATTCGCTTTAGAGCGGATAGTATGAATTAAATTTATATCTTTGAAGTAATTAGCAAAAGTGTCAGGCAATTGGCCGTTAGAATGTTTATACGCGACTTCACAAAGCTGGAGTTCTCAAAGACATTTAGAATGTCAATTCTTCGAAATAGCGGTCTACTTGGAGTTCTACGATCTGAGAAAGTAATCGCCCTTAATTAAGGCTCGCTTCTGCAGGATGTCAGGAATAGGTGAGATCCTTGATTTATAATTACTCCCCCAAATCAATGAACCGTATGAGAGACAGGAGTATATAAAACTATAGTACAGATTTTTTAATATATCAAGACTTAGGTAGTGTCTACATTTATACAAAACTCCAATTGATTTAGCAATCTTTCTGTGGAATAAATGCAAGCATTACCATGGAAACCTGCTGATTGACATCCATGGAAACCTACTGTTAATGTCATGGCTACAAATCGTACAACTTTGCACATGTAATTCAGGAACGCATAGTTAATATCGTAGG